TTAGAAGGATTCTGTGGCTCATGGCAGGGTGGGCAGAAAAGGCTAGAAGACCAGGTCCTCCTCAACCCCTGGGCTGACCACATTCTGAAGCCAGAAAGGTCTTGGTTTTTCCCACGCTCCCTGGAAGGGTCCGATAGCTACATCCTCTGAGAAGAGTCACCTCTCCTGCCCCAACCCCAAGCTCCTTGTCTCCTGCCCAGACCCAGGAGAGAGCTATTCAAAGTCTAGAGAAAACCCCAAGCTCATAGCTCCCTTCGCCCACTTGGTGTCCATAACACCTTCTCCATCCTACATCTGCCTGAGTACCATTCAGGTTTGTTAGCATTAAGTTCTGTAGTGGGAAGGATGGGAGATACCTGCTTGGCTGAGCCTATTCTTTGGGGATTTCTACCTAAGGCCCTCTCTGTCTGCCTCAGTTTCTCCACCTGCACCAGTGATTGAGCAAGCACCCAGATGCCACAGGGTGTGGGTGCTGGCAGGGCCTGGCCGGGTTTGCCACTGGGAAAGCTGCAGGAAGGGAGGGGAGCGTGCCCACTAAAGGACTTGGCACTGCAGTCCAGCTCCTGCCTCTTTTGACCTCCCCCCAAAAGTTCTTTCCACCAAGCAGCTGTCCCAGGCCCTCCCAGACCAGAGGCCCTCAGGATACCTGGGGTGAGGGAGATGCTCAAGACCCAGATACTACCCATCCCTCACCTCATGGCCACAGAGCTGTTGATAAAATGCTCTGAGATTCTGGGAGAATTTTCCCCGACTGCTACCCCTTCCCACCCCCCATACCTTCCCCCCCACATATTAAAGCAGGTTCTTCCAAGAACATAACTCAGCTCCAGGCTCCTGGTATTAGAGTAACATTTGACCTGCGTTTTGTCGTTGTTGCTTTGTTTGTTTGGTTTGTTTTTGTTTTTGTTTTTTAGGGAAAATGTGGTCCCATCAGAAGACAAACAGATCAGTAACCAATTTTGCTCCCTTTGGACAGCAAGCCCCGCCCACAATGGGGGGTGGGGCGGGCAGGAGGGCTGTTAACTCACTTCCAAGAGACCTGGATTAATTTCCCCACCACATCCCCCCAGGCTAAGGCCTGCCCTGGAAGGGAGAGACCACCCGGTTAAAGCCTGGCCATCCGATCTGGTATCTGCCCATCTGTCTGTCTGTCTGTCTGTCTGTGGGATCAACAGCCTCCAGCCAGCTCAGCTCCTCGCCAGCCCCAGCCCCAGCCAGCTGTAATTCCTGCCTGTTACAAGTGTTAACACCTGGCCTGGGGCCTTCCTCCCCCGCAGTCTCCAGGTGCCTCCCTGGGCCCAGCCCACTGACCCCCACGGGGTTTGACTGAACATGTTCACAAGCCTCTGAAAGGCGGGTGGAGGTGGGAGTGGGTGGGGGAGGCAGCGGGACATCGGACAGATGGGGAAACTGAGGCAGGGCTTAGGGCAAGTGCTCGAGTGGGGAAATGGCTCCCAGGATGGTGGAGAGAGAACTCAGCTGTTATTGCCCGGCTCACTGCCCTTGACTTCTGCGGAGCACTTTCACCCAAGCTGTGAAGCAGGGGCAGGCTGGTGATTCCTGAGTAAGGAAACAGAGACCCAGAGGGATGTGTCCCACAGAGGTGGGCTCCCGACCCCCAGCACAGGCCCCTTGCATCAGGGCCTCTGCCTCCGGAATGCAGCAGGCACTAGGCTAGGCCCTAATAAGATCGTTCATTTTTCCCCCAGGAAGGAGAAGAAAGACAACTTCCTCTACCAGGCGCTAACTGGGACTGACAAGAAGAATTATAGAAATCAGTGCTGCTGCCACTGCTTCCTGTCCCAGCTCCGCCACTACCTGGCTGCGAGGCCCTGGAACGTGTCTCTTCCTTCCATGAGCCTCTGTCTGAGGCCCCTTGTAGCTCAGGCTTCTGGTCTACCTTCTCTCAGGGCTGGGGCCTGAGCAGCACAGGACGCTTGGGATGGGGGTGCCTTCCTTGAGGGGTGATAGGGGCAGAAATCCCAGCTGAATTATTTCCCCCTAAAGTCTCTCCTAGGGAATGTGTGAGCTGGGAGGGCCAAAGAGGGCAGGCCGTGATGGGCTAAAGAACTGGTATCTGGCTGCCCTGGGGGCAGAGCAGGGATAGGAATCTGAGGCCCCTCTACTCTACTGTCACTGTCCCAGCCCTGGCCCCCTGCCCCGGCCCTGAGAACATGACACCCACCACCCTAGCTCCAAGCCCAAAGACAAACGGTGTAAGAGGGGAGGGCTGGTGACCATAGTCCTCAGACAGACAGGATGAGCTTGTGCCACAGAAGGCTCTGCGCCGTCCCCCTTCCCCATGCTGCCCAGCCCCGGATCCCAGGTCACTGTGGCCCTTGCAGCTTCCTCATTAGACCCTTGTCTGTGTCTGCTGGACTGTCCCTCCAGGACCATGGACGCCCACCAAGCACCCAAGTTTGGGATGTCATTCACGCTTACAGGTCATATGTCTGCAAACCTATCCATAGCCATGGGCCCAGCCATGGTCACTAGCACTTGAGGACAGGGTCACAGGCAAACTCAGACATAGCCCTCACCACACTCATACTCACAATCGGCTCATGGCCATAAGCACTGATATCCATGCACAAAGACATCTGTGGAGCTTTCCCCTTACACAATCATGAAGACACGTGCACGCATGCAGACGCGCACACGCACCGCTCACATGCCTGGTCATGAACATAGTCATGTGGCGTCATAAGCAGACACAGGTGCTGACCTTTATGTGGGCATAGACACTTCTAGACTTTCTCTGTCTCATACACATACACACGCGCTCACAGAGAATCAACCACTTGCCGACACTTGTGTGCAGATACACAGTACACCCTGTCACGGGCCATGGAACCCTCAGGCACATCTCACACAAGTTCACGTCCACAGTCATCCAGTTGCAGGTACAGACACTCCTTCACACAGAGGCACACTAGTGTACAGATGACACTCCTTAGGGTCATAGGCCTACACACACACACACACACACACACTGCTCAGACAAAGCAGCATCCCTGTCCCCGCCAACCCCAAACAAGCCATGTGTCCAGCGTTATGTTAGGGCCAATGTCCTGGCTTTCCAGGTTTTTCCAACACCTTCCTATTGGGTGGTCCCTACCGGGATGCTCCCCAATACACCATTACACAGCAGACCCCCCAGCCACCAGCATTGACCCCGGAAGTGCTCTTGTCCAGTTCATAGGATAGGGGAAGCTGGTCTTCCCCCCTTGGTTCCTGCAGCCTATGGGGCTCCAAGCCCTCTCTTCCCACCCTCCCCGCCCACCCCCAAGGTCCCTGTGAAAGAAGAGAACAGCATGGCCTTGGGCAGGGGATGGGAAGAGGGTCGGGAAGGGCCAGTGGGGCAGGATTGGTTTCTGCAGCAGCCTTCCTCGCAACTGGCAAAGTCCCCAACCTGGCATCCCTGGCTGCCCTGGCCACCCTGGGGACTTCTTTATGTACAGGAGGCCTCAGGCCAGCCCATCGCCACGGGGAAGGAAGGGCTGGGCAGAAGAAAGACCTCCCCTCGGATGTCTGTCCTGGGAGCAACTCTCAGTACCCTCTAAATGGAGACCCTTGGCCATACACTGCTCTTATTCCCATCCTGACCCCCCCAAACACCCAGACACAAATGCTGCCACCCCCAAACAGCTGCAGGCAGACTCGGGGTGTGGCCCCAAATCTCCTTGCTCTGCTCCCCCTATCCCAAGCTGGGCAAAGGGTGGTTAAGGGAAAGGCGGACACGCAGGTGGCACTCCTCTCTGACTTTCATTCCAGGGCCACAGTCCCTCTGCTAACTCACAGATCCCAAATTCTTCCTCCTCACCTTCCACCCCCCACCCCCCACCCCCTGGCCGAGCCTCTCCTACATCCAGGAGGGGAAGATTCTTTAATTAAAGTTTTCCGGAATGCAGGGGGCTGGAGACTGAGGAGAGGCGGGGTGTAATTTAGAGAACTGGTTTCAGTGTGTCTTTCCCCTCTGGCCTCTGGGACCTGCTGGGTGTCGATGAGGCCGCTTGGAAAACAAGGGGACTCCCTGGAACTGGGGCTCCCAAAGGGCTGTTTACTCCACGGCCAGTTCCCCCATACACGCACAACCCCCCACCCGGCCCCCGCCAAAACACCGCGCCTGGTTTCCCAGCCTTATTTACTAAAAATGTCTTTTGTATCCACATTTCTCGGGGACCGGGATCCTCCTCTCCCTCTCTCCCTTTCTCCTCGGTCCTCGGGTTTTTCCAAAAGGAACGAATTTGACATGGAGAATTGGGTTTTTGGTCAAAGAACAAACCCACCCCCTCCCAAACAACTACATTTTCAAGAAGCCCCGCTTTTGCCAGGATGGACAAGCAAGAAATGAATTAAATCTGAATTCAATGGCATCTCGGATCAGCAAATACCATATTCACTTCTGAGGCTCCAGATTAATCTAGAGCAGAGTGGGGAGAATCTGATGAAATCCACCCCCCACCCCCCTGCCCTGGGGGATCCCTGAAGCGACTGGGGTCTAAAATCTGAAGGCACAGGGGGGTTATTGTGGGGAAATCTCCTGATGGAGGCGCCGGAGGAGGTGAGGGTGGCAATGAAGGAACAGGATGATTTTGCCCATGAAGACCCCAAAATGGAGAAGAGGAGTGGCTGGGCCCCAGGGACATCGATGGATTGCCAGAAAGACAACTGCAAGCAAATGGAGGGTCTTCGGGGCCCCCAGACTGGGACGGGTGGAGGGTTAGGATCTAAGAATAAGAGACATTCTGAGACGGGGAAAGTCCTCCAGCCTCTGCAGCGAATAGCAGGGAAAATGGTGATTATCAGAGAAACCAGGAGTTGGATTCTGAAGGCGACACCAGCAGAAAATCCAGGGAGGTGGGCGAGTCGGGGTGCTGGAGGGAGGTAAGAAGAAAGGAGCCCCAGCCCTGCCGCAGCCCACCCCCAGCTAGCGCCCCCCACCTCCCTGGGGCTCCGCGGAGAAATCTGGCCGCGGGCAGATAAGAGGCGAGTCTTACCACCAAATTGGGTAGCCGGCGAGGACCCTGGTGCCACAGAGCAGGAGGCCGAGGAGCAGCCCGAGCAGGTGGGGCTCCATTAGAAGCGGCGCCGAGGAGGAAGTTTGCCCGCGACCATGAAGAGGGGGAGCGACGCCCCCAATAGTTGGAACAAAGTCCACTTGAGATTGGAAATGACTTTCGGGCTTGTCAGAAGCGCACCTCCACCCGCAGCTGCCCCCCTCCCGAGCCCAGCGCGGAGCAGCCGGGTTTGAGGATGTCAGCGAGCAGCCAATCAGCGCCCGCGGCCTAAGGTAAGAGATGAGTCTGTAGTTCAGCCTGTCAATCACGCGCCCCTCCCGCCCGGCCCACGAGTCGGGCTCCGGGAAGGGCATCGCCCAGCAAACTTGGGCAAAGCCCGCACCCCGGACACAGTGGGAACTTGGGGGGACACGGCACGTTGGACCCTCTGCTGGCGCGGGACCGCCGCGGCCCCCCGCCAGCCAGGTTTAGGGAGCCGGGGCTGTGACTGGGGCGTTCACGTGGTGCCAGGTTGGCGTGGGTATTGATGGGTGGCTCCTTTTCCCTCGGGAGACCGTGACCTCTTGGGACTTGGGCCTATGAGGAATCGAGAGTAGAAAGCACAGGGATGTTTCCAGAAGCTTCGCTCGGGCAGGACAGGATCCGAGGGTCTCGGAGGGGGTTGGAAAATGCAACCCCTCCCAGCCTCCCGAGCCCGCGAGCGGGCCGGCCACGCGACCCAGCCGCGGGAGGTCGCTTCCCGGGCATCCGAGAGGCGCGCAGAAGGGTCCGCGGAGGCTCGAAGGTCTGGCTGCGGGCGGCGCCGGGGGACAGAGCCGAGTGTCATTTGAGTCTTTTGTCAGGGATCAGATCGGTATCGGGACCTCCTGCTGCCTTTGCATTTCCTGCAACTGACACCAGCGGCCAGTTGCATTTCCTGCGCGGGGAGCCGGGTCACTTTCTCCTCCTAGAGGGGTTCAGGCCCGGCCTCAGGCTCAGGTCAGAAGGAGGACCCGCGATCCCATTTGGATCTTGTGGATGAACAGTTTGGGGCACGTGAAACGCAGTAGCCCCAATAGGGAGCAGCTGGGGTCCTCGGAGGACCTCCTTGCCATCGAGACCCCCTTCCCTGCCCAACTCTCCTGCCTGAGGCCCTGGGCTCCAACCTGGGGTTTGGTGATAACGTCCCCCTTTCCTGTGTGGACACCAAATGTATCCCAATACCCCACCCCTCGCCATAGGAAAAAAGTCCTTCCAAGGCCTCCGTGGGTTCTTTCTCTCTTCTCCCTCTCCAGAGTCAAGGAATTAGGTCTGCCTTAAGTGGTGCTGAGACTGAAGCCAGATTTGGGGGCCCTTGACCTCTGTCACCTGGGCACCTGCCCCGCAACCCTGCTCCCAGGCCACTCAAGGCCCCCAGAGGCACCCCAGGCGAGGGATGGGTGCTGGAGCATCATCCCTGGGCCTGGGGCAAAGAAAGCAAGGGCAGTAAGAGGGATTGAGGGCAGTGACTCCCAGAACTGTGGCAGAAGGGGCAGCAAATGAGCTGACCCCCAGTGGTGCAAGGCTGGGAGTGGCAGGCCCTCTGCCAGATGGGGGCATGGCTGGAGGAAGTCCACGCCAGGGCCAGACATTCCTAGCCTTGGATCTGGGCCACCCGTGCCCATAACTTGAACCCACTGCCCCTGCCCATCCCGAGAGCCCTCTCCGCACAAGGCTGTGATGGGCGCGGGGAGCTTGGAAAACTGGCCCGGGGGCATCAAGGGTCGGGAGAGCCGCCTGGGCTTGTCACCGCTTCTGCCGCGTTCCTAGCCCGGTGTTCGACTGGAGGGGGGGTGGGGGGGAGATGAAAGAGAGGAGGGGAGGGAAGGGGAGAAAAGGGAGAGACAGAGTAGTGAAAAAAGAGAGAGAGCACAAGCGAGGGCCTGAGAGAGAAAGAGAGAGAGAGGAGAGGGAGGGGAGACTAGCAGAGGGAGCCCACGGAGAAAGAAGGGGAAGAAGAGGGGAGGGAGAGGCAGAGACGGGGAAGGATGAACAAGGCGAAGAGAAAACCCCAACCTGCCCTGGACAGTGGACGGGGTGGAGGATGCAGAGATGGGGACCTTCAGAGATGGCCCCGTGGCGGGCTGATTCCGGTGTGCCGTATTTCTGATTCACCTGGAAAGGGGGTTGCGGAGGATTTGCCATTTTCCCTGACTGCGGAGCCTCAGGGCCCCGACTCTAGGGGTAGAGAGCCCTCCACACACACCCTAAGTCCTACCCGGAGCTCTGTCCTCCCCAACGGGGGCTCTCAGCTGGTTTTCTGATCAGACGTGCCCGCTGGAACTCCAATCCTGCCTGTCAGTTTGGGGGGCTCTGGAGCCCCACAATCGTCTTTCTGAGAGCTGAGGAGGGCTACATTTCCCTGGCCACCAAGACACCACTGCAGATTCAGGGTGGCCAGGAGGCAGGTGGGGGATGGACTAGATGATCTCTTCGGGGTCATTTCTGGGTCCCCAAATTCCATAGGTGCCAGCCTGGGAGGTGGGGGCAGGAGATGCCCGAGGCTGCAGGTGGGGTGGGGGTTGGCTCGCCCAGCCAGTGGCCCTGGGCTGTGTAGGCAAGGCTGGCCTTTCCCTGAAGGGATGCGTGTATACCTGATGCCTTCTCCAGGCAGCCTGGGAGCACCTGGAGATCCCGATCCTGAGCATGGGGCAGAGAATGGAAGAGAGACAGGGACACAAGTGGGTGGTAGGGTGGAGTCCCAGACTTTTGCTAGCCTCACACTGAGGAAGTGAAGAAGGAGAGGACTGGATGGGGCGATGTGGGAACCTGCTAGCGGCCGGGCAAGGCGCCCTGGAGAATGGAAACTGTGTGGGGGTTTCCCCCCATTTGAAAGCTCCCCAGAAGAGGGGATTCCTGAGCCCTTTCCCTCCCCTGCCAGGTGTCCTTCCTTCAACACAGGCTTAATTTCCTTCCTCCTGCCGGCCCAGCGCTGCCAGTGGGGACACAGGAATGGTCCCTGCCCAGGAGGGGGAGGGCACCCCAGAGCCAAGTGTCACGAACGGAAACGCCCTCTCTCATGGGCACCCGAACCGCACGAAGGGTTGCACGCGGTGGGGAAAGGGTTAAATTCACTCCAAGGCCAGCCAGGGCGGGTGAGGTGGAGGCTCCCGGGCGTTGGACCCCGAGGCCTCCGCCTGAGTGGGAGGGTGGCCTCTTGAAAGGGACCTGGGGGCTGAGGGGTGGCACGTGGGAAGCACTCTGTGTTGTGTGAGTGTCCGGGACCTCAGACCGACCGAGTGACCGCCCATCTCCATCCCACCTCCACCTCTCTAGCTGCCCCGAGGTTCCCTTTTACGTGCGCTCCCCCGGGGCAAGCAGTCGGCCGCTGTGTATTCAGCGCCGCTCAACCGGGCCCCCTGCGGAGGCACCGCCGAGACAAAGGACGGGGCAGCCTTGTCCCCGCCCGCAGCGGGCTACCCGTCTATCGCGGGGAGGGAGGAGGAGGACATCTTCGATCCAGGGCTGTGCGCTTCACTTTTGCTCGAAACTTGCCCGAAGGCTGCTGGGGCCCAGGGAGCCAGGAGCCCAGACCAGCCTGGGGAGGGTGAGGGGAGAGGGCAAAGCTGCTGCGGGCGGGGGAAGCAGCAAGTGCGGAAGGTCTGCAACCTCGCGACTCCCGCGGGGAACAGCATGAAGGGGGCGCGTGGGAGCTCCCTCCACGGACTCCGACCGAGAGAGGGGCTTTTAACTTTACCCCAAGAGCTACAGGAGCCGCAGAACGGTTTCAAGCGAGGTTCTCCTTGGAGGCCACTAGAAAGAAAGCTAGACAACCGGAGAGGGCAACCAGGAGGCAGGTGGTCCACAGCGTGGGTGGTGGCGCAGGAATTAATCAAACGAGATTTCTTTAAACCGCCCAGTGTAGAGGCAGCGTCCTGGAAATGCCGGAAGCGTGCACTGGGTAAGCACATAGGTGAGCAACAAACGCCAACCGAACGCACAAAGGCGACCCGGAGCCCACTAGCCTCTCGGTCTCCCGGCCCCGGCGCGCCCCCTGGCGGCGGTGCTGATAATAAGGCAGGAAGTCTGCAGGCGAGGAAGGTGGCTCCGCCCCGCCCCCGACCCCGCGGGCTGGGAGCCGGAGCCTTTGTCGGTGAGCAGCCCGGATCTTTGGGGATCCCGGTTAAGTAGGCATCCTCGTGAGTGAATGCCTTTAATCTACTTCGCAATCCCCGAGCTTAGCTGGGGATAAGGTGTGCGTGGCTTCAGGCTCCCCTCTCCTCCCCACCCAGGTGGCTCCCCTGGGAGAGTGGGCCGCGCCACAGACGCAGGACGCCCGAGATGCAGGACGCGGGCGCGGGCGGGGTGATGTGAGGCCCCGGGCTCCCACTCCTGGGCATCAGGCAGGTTCTGTGCAGCTGCCTCAACCTTGTGTCGAGACACGGAAGGCTGCAAACGGCAGGGTGATGTCACTGAGTCCTTCCTGGCCTGGCCCACCAGCACCCCAAGATCACAGGTGCCACCTGTGGGGCGGTAAGGGGTTTTCCCTGTCCCAGTAGTTCCTCCTGTCTTAGTCATCTCTAGTTCCCCAAGGGCATTTTGGAAAGGGATTTGGGGTCAAAGTCCTTTAGAAGGGAGGGGACAACAGAAAAATGGGCTGGGGGCACCCCTGGCCAGCTGCCTGTTATCTCTGAGCCTCCTCTGTGCCATCCGAGGTGGAGACAATACTTAATATCTCATAGGGAGTTGTCAGCGTTAAATGAGAACCGTGCTGACAGAACGCCAGACCGAGGATGGCGAATAATAAATACTGGGTTTCTTTCTTCTCCTCTTAGGGGCTGAGGAGTAAGTGGCTGTCTTGGGTTGCTTTTTCTGCTCCTGTCAGCCTCAGCTAAGCAGCTCCTCAGGCGCCCAGGAGCCTCTGCCAGAAGGATTTGTTCAGGAAAATCTTGTTTGACACCCCAACTTGAGACCCACCTCAAAATCTCCTTTTCGGCGAGACCCTCAGCCCCATCCTCCTAGCTGCTCCGCCACCTTGTCCCTCTGGGCCTCTTACTCCACTTTATTTTTCTGCATAGCCCTAAACACTGACCTTGTATTTCATATATTCCATATTGAATGTGTCTGTTAAGTTGCCCATTTAATGTTGTCTCTTTCCTACTCGAAAATCTCAGTTCTGCTGAAGGCCCAACACCCAGAGCAGGATCTGGCGCAGGCCCTTATAAACGCCGCCGATGACTGGCTGAGGGAGTAAGGGGGGAGGCAGAGGCTGAGGCCTCAGATGGGGGACCATTGTCTGAGGTCCTTATGGCCCTTTGGGGTCCCCATCTTGAGATCTTGGCACCTAGAGTTCGCCACTCCCCCCTAGCTACCCTACTCTGGGTTTGGCACCTGC